CAACCTTGAACCCCTTCTAATGACTTCAAAGAGTGTAAGCATTTAGATAAATGGTTCCAAACTTGGGGGTCTCGACCCCCTTCAAAAGGGTTGCCTAAAACCATGGGAAAACAGATATTTATATTATGATTCATAACAGCAGCAAAATTACAGTTAAGTAGTGGCAGAAGGATCAGGAATTCAAGGCCAGCCTAGGCTACCTCGGACCGTTTTCTAGTTACTTTATTTTTGTCAAGAAAAGAAAAAGGGAAGAAGCAAGAAAAAGAAACCAAACAAGTAGCACATTATGGCAGAAAAAAAGCACAAGGTTGGTAAGACAGGCCTGGGTCTGCATCTGAATTCTATCACTCCTTAACAGTTTAACTTTGCCAAACCCAAGACCTTTTTAAGCCTCAACTTTGGCTTCAATAAAATAGGCAGGCATCCACTTGGACTGGAGATAATTTGTAACTAATTGGTAGAGCACAGTCTAGATGAGTTCCACCAGGAATACTCAAACCTTGATACCTATGCCATAGTTATTAGAAGCCACCTTTGAAATGCCAGGTAGTTGTGATTTCATAAAGTCCTAACTTGCAAGACACTTAAGAGACTAAACAGCTAAGCATGCCATCAGAAATAATGAGTCCTAATCAAATCCAGACTGCTCTGACTCCAAACCCTGGCAAGATGGTCAGTGTGCCTCTTTGGAAGCACTTTCTGCTCTCAATGGATTTAACTCAAAGTTAGAATTCAGTATATTTATACAAGAATAAATTCTTAAATAAGCCTCTATCATAATCGAGGTTTGAGCTAAAATGCCCAAATCAACCACCTGAAAAATAGTTATGATTATACAAGAAACCATTACTTTAAAATCTAGGTCCAAGTTAAGCTTTAAGCTACCTATGTACACACACAGTAATACAAACCTTAGCTCTGAACAACTAAAATCTACTACTACACTGTTCAAAGAGGCCTTGGTGGTACTTGTATTCATATAAAAATTGTCTGTCTGCTGTATAAATAGAAGATACTACAATAAACCCATGTAAAAAGTCCAAGACAAAACTACAAATAACAACTACCTTTTACTTAGACTCAGGCTTTTAGTATATAATCTTAGAATGTGTCTGTCATCTAAAATTAATATTGTATTATTGTATAACTTGTAAATCCTCATAAACTATAATCTCCAGGTGTGAATCATAAACAAAAACTTCCAGTAGATAACAGACATAGGAAGGCTTAAGTTCCTCCATACCAATTTTTCTTTCTCTTTCTTTTTCTTTTTTGCAGTACTAGAGATTAACCTAGGTCTCACCCACAGTAGGCAAGTGCTCTATCATTGACCTATCTCCCCAGCTCTTTATTTTCTTTTATTTTCTTGATAGGATTCCACTTAAATTCACCCAGGCAAGTCTTAAACTTGAGATTCTCCCCCGTTGGGCTCCAGAGTAGCTGACACTAAAGGCCTGGTAACCCATATTAAACCTTAAGGGTGCTGCAAATATTAAAACACAAGTGTCACAACCTTACATAGCAGAGCCAATACTTTGCACTAGTGGTTTTTGTTCTGGTTGTTGTTGATTTTTATGTTTGAGACAAGGTCTCATGTATTCCAGGTTGGCTTCAACGGATAATCTTGAACTTCTGATCCTCCTGCCCCTACCTCAAAGGACTCAAAATGCAGGCTAGGGATACTATACCAGGGTTCCAGTGCTGGGGACTGAAACTAGGGCTTCATGTCAGGCAAGCACTCCATAAACCAGGCTTCCAGCCCCCATTCCTTTTTGGTATTTAAAAGTTAACAAGCCAGTAGTTGGGACCCCCACATTCTCCCTGTCAGGAGGCTAAGGGAGAAGGATCATTAATCTGAGGACAGCCTCAAAATCTAAAAACTAACAATTTTAATATTTTAAAGCATCTTCCCTAAAGAATATACATTTATCAACTCATAAAAATTGCATTTACCTACAATTTTACATTAAAAGGACATTATCTACTAATATTGAGTTCTCTGAACTAGTGGTGGCAAAACAGGGAATTCAACTGTGTCAAGGTCAGTGGCATTTGTTACAATGTTGTTTTACACATTTTTTCTTTTTGGTTTTTTGAGACAGGTTTTCTCTACATAACAGCCTTGGCTGTCCTAGAATTCACTCTGTGAACCACATCTGACAGCTTTATTCTCTTTGGTGGAGGAACAAAACAAATTAAAATAATTTTAAAGTCTTTTTTTTTTCTTGGGAAGCAAGATATTTATTATGAATTCATAAACAACAAATATGTAAGCTTTTGGCTTTTCCTGAAGTTTATTTGAGTGATATTTCAGGAATACCTCTCAATGATAACAAGTTTGTAATACCCTGAATTATACGGAAAATTGAGTGTGGAGACTAGTTAGTGATATCTGCCATGGACATGATGATGCAAGGCAGCAAAAAATACTTCTAAGTAACTTATTTAGGTTGTTAATGTGTTCTCCTGCAGCTTAGACTCTTTTCTGTTTTGGTAGTTTGCTTTTGGGATGGCAGAGTGGGGGGCGGGGGCAAGTTGTGGTATGCTAAACCAAGTACTCTACCAAAGAGCTATAATATGTCATCTCTTGACGTAACATTTGGTTGGTGAACCGGGACTCTAGTTCAGGCTGGCCTTGAATAGCACAGGTTTCCCTTGAGTACAGTATCTCACATTAGCCTCTCACTGAATGATTGGCATGCACCATGGCTTTTTTTTTTTTTTTTAAGGTAAAATCTGTTTTATAGCAATTATATACATCACTTGTATTAGTTCTGTTGAGTTTATTTTTATTCTACTTGATTTGGTATTGTCTTCCTACCTCAATCAACATAGCTTGTGGAATTGAACACATTTTTTCTTCTCTTTTTTTTTTTTTTTGGGGGGGGGGGGTTTTTTTCGAGACAGGGTTTCTCTGTGTAGCTTTGGAGCCTATCCTGGCACTCGCTCTGGAGACCAGGCTGGCCTCTAACTCACAAAGATCCGCCTGCCTCTGCCTCCCGAGTGCTGGGATTAAAGGCGTGCGCCACCAACGCCCGGCTGGTAAATCATGTTTTTAAGAGATAAAACTTTGAACATGTAGTTCTTGTTCATATTTTTCCTTCTTCAATTTCCTTGAATCTGTAACCTACCCCTACAGCATGACTTTCCTAGCTATAACGTCCATACTTGTTTTTGTTCAAGATGATCAGTGAATTACTTAAGGGAGGTTTTATCCCCAGGGCACCCAAATACAGGGTCTTATATTTGGCAAAACCTCTACCACTGAACTACATCTCCAGCCCTCCCCTTAAAAAAAGTGTAGCTGTGCCATGGTGGTACACGCCTTTAATCCAATCACTTGGAAGGAGGCAGAAGCAGGCTGATCTGTTAGTTCCAGTCAGGAAGATAAGGAGTTTGAAGCCAACCTGAGCTACATATTGGTAAATTTCCAAGCCACTACAGAACGAGCCCTTACTTAAAAAAAAAAAAAAAAGTTAAAAACATCTTAAAGAGAATAAAATAAGCCGGGTGGTGATGGTGCATGCCTTAGATCCCAGCACTTGGGAGCAGAGGCAGGTAGATCTCAGTGAGTTTGAGGCCAGCCTGGCCTGGTCTGCAAAGCCAGTTCCAGAACAGACTCCAAAGCTACACAGAGAATCCCTGTCTCAAAAAAAAAAAACAAGGCCAGGCTGGGTAAACATCACCCAGCACTCTGGTGATGTTTACCATACAGTAACCAAAGGGAAGGAGTAAAGAATCTTTTTGTTTTCTTTCAAGACAAGGTGTCACTAAGTGTTTCTGGCTGTCCTAGAACTCACTATTCAGACCAGGCTGGCCTCAACACACAAAGATCCTTCTGCCCCTGCCTCCAGCGAGAGTCCAAAGTACTGGGACTGAGGATGTGCATGCACCTACTAGTGAAGAGTCTTGATTAAGGAGGTTGTAAAAATACTGTGTGTGATATAAGTGAGAAACAAATGTTTGCTAAATACTTCACTATCTCTCTCACACACACATAAACACACCCCAAGACAGGAATAAAAACCCATGAAAAGGAGCTTTTCTCCATCCCAAATCCAACCATAATATATAATGACATTAAAATAGTAAATTGCTTTGAAAAACTACATATACTGTTCAGAAGGAGAAGCTATTAATTTACTCTTTTTAGTAAATTTCAACAGAAGCTGGTAAGGAGGCATGACTTTATAAACACACGTTGCAGAACTCCATATGTCTGGTCATTCAGGCATATCCCCCCTCTTTATTTCCTGTCATTTAAAGAATTAAAGAGAACGGAAAAGTTTGCACACTACAAACAAAAGCATACATAATGAAGCCGCGAGATGGTGGCACACGCCTTTAATCCCAGCGAGTTCGAGGCCAGCCTGGTCTACAAATCGAGTTCGACAGCCTGGACTATTACACAGAGAAACCCTGTCTTGGTAAAACACAAAAAAACAAAGCAAGCACAATGAGCATTCCTGACCATGACCTTCCTTCTCCCTAAAACAGGAGTGAAACTTGAGCCATCTGTAAAGACTTGATAGTATAAAAATTTGTGTCAATTGTGATTTGGACAAGTCAACACACTTAAAAGTGAATTTGGTGCTGGGCTGTGGCTCAGGGGTACACTTTCAGCACTGCAAAACACTGGAAGGTAAAATTTCATACCCTCGTACAAGGGGAACAAAAAAGGAAAAGGAAATCAACTTTGTTCCATAAGACAACTATTTTGAATACATAATCTTGACTCCTGGAAAGAACAGTTGATGTCTGGGCAAGTAAAGTTTACAGAACACCTATTTTCCTAAATGCTTTCATTTCTACCTACCTTTAGTAAACTGGGCACTTTTAGGAGGAAAAAAAAGACTTCCCAAAAGTCCTTCGCTGAGATAATTAAAAAAAGCTAAGTCAGAAACCCCCTCCTGTTTCCTTTTCTCGTGGATAGAACACCCAAACCGAGGCTCCAGCCCTTGACACCAAAGCCTGGTCGACCGCTGGGACTAGACACTCACCTCCTGGATGCGCTTTCTTGCCCGCTGAAGCACCTCTTCGTAGCCCTTCTGCCGCAGCTCGCTGAGACTTTCGTAATACTCCTCGGGATCATCGGTCTCGGTGAAGAGCACTTGGGAGAGGATCTTCCAGCCGCACGTGTCCAGGCCATGGCCCAAGTAGACCTGGAGCTGGTAACACAGAGCGTCAATCTCCTGTTCGGTCATCTCGGGGGCACCCCCGAACAGCACAGTCCACATGCCAGACGGCTCTTCGGGGAACACTGGTAGACACGGCTCCAGCTGGGAGTTCACAGAGCACAGCTGCTGGTGCACTGCCCGCAGATCTTGGAAGGAGAAGAGCCCGGCCCAGCTGCACTCTTCTGCAGGGGACTCCAGCTCCGCGGCGGACGGCTGAGGCTCCGAG